GGTGCTCTTGCTGCTATATGGACCAAGAAAGGTCTGTGCAAGATGAAACAGGGGCCTTCGAGCACGGGCAACATCTTCGGTGTCTATTGTGAAGGGGCGCCCCGTCGTACTGGTTGCGTCCACTACACGGCGCGCGCGTCGTCTGATGTGGGCGCCGAGATAAATCTACATCATGCATATTTGAGATGCAGGTAGACCGCGAACGGCGCGAGGGCAATTCTAGGGCGCGTGTTCACAAGCAGCGGTGCCAAGTCGAAGGCAGCACCTGCGTCGCCAAGCTCTGGGTCCACCTACTACGATGAGGGAGATCTGGGGCACGATCCAGACGAAGTAGCATGTCTTTGGATGGCGCAGGCTGTGGAATCGCACGGTCAGGGTGACCTTATTGCGTAGGGGTGTCCTACTGCGTTGCCGAGCGTCCACGCCTACTCGGAGGAGAATCGAGGAGTCCGACCTGGCGGCTTTCGAGGTCAAGCTGATCCCCAAGGACGAGAAATGGGTTCCTCAATGAACTCTAGAGCACAGTGCAGCATCCTGCTACGTGGAGCGAACTGGGTGTCAGCACGACCACCCCAGCGGCTCCGAACCGAAGAGCTTCATGGACGAGGTGGGGAGAGCTGCGGGCGAATCAGGGTCTGGCAATCCCTTCATGTACCTTTCCTACAGACGTTATCAAGGCCTTTGTGCGCGTGTAGCCGTATCGGCAGTGCGTCACAAACGATTTGGGATTATTTGAGAAGGCTGCGGGATCTGACTGGCTACGGCTTCAAGAACAAGAAGCGGAATGTCACGGACTGAGGCTCGGCGACCTATCGGCTGCAAGCAAGGTAGAGGTTGTGGTTGTCATGCCCATGTCAACCTATCCTCCTCCTTCGTTTCCGTCCCAGTTCCCTTGTGCGCCGCCGTTGTGGCTCACAAGGGCCCTTGAGTCACGTGGCGCGCAGGCGACGTGCGCGCCCTGGTCCCCCTACTTGTACTTCGCGTCTCTCTCTATTCATTCCATACAGTTACTCCCGTACATTCCACAGGGCCCTCCCCAGGCCCCGCGGCCGTCGAGACGATAGCGCCGCACGGAAAGCCTGGCCCATGGGAAACCCCGTGGTCCAGGGACCGTCTCCCCCTGGACGGCCGCCCTCGTTGCAGTCAGCGCCGGGCAGCATCTGCATTGCCAGGCGACGCGACAAAAAACACGGTGGGCGCTCGACGTTCCCCACCCAATTGTTGCCTCCCGGGTCCATTGTCAGCTGCGTGTAGCTAGCGCAGTGAGCAGGAAATGACCCTCTCTTCATACTTGACGCGCCGCAGGATGTATGGACTTTTGGCCGCGACGGAGCACGATCCGTAAGATGGGCGTTTCGAAGTGGGCGGGGGGTCATGTGACCCTCACTGGGGCCGCAGGTGGAGCCCCCCATGGAGGCACGAAGCGTGTGAGGAGTGTGCCGAAATGCGCTGGAGGAACACGTGAACACCACCATTTGGGGCGTAGGTGGAGTTTTGTGGGGCTCCTTGATTTGGGAACGCGAAGCGTGTGAGAGGTGTGCCGTCATTCGTGGGCGGTGCGTGAAATGGCCTTCGTCGGGGCCATGGGGCAAGCTCGTTGTGGGGAACACACGCGAGGGGTGTGCCGAAATAGGCATGCACATGGATTGCCAGGCTTGCTATAAACCGAAATGGTGTATAACCCTTTTTGGGGGACCTAGGCTGCCAGAAACCAGTAGTCCGCCGACGAAGGGTCACATCATTGGGGTAAATGGGACTGCCGAAGCCTGGCTTGGCTTCCGCGGTGCAGTTGATCAGGCATTTAGAAGTCAGGGCAGGGACGAGGAGGACAAGGAAGGGAGGAGGAGAAGGAGGACGTGGGACGCGCGGTTCTGCCGATTCAACACGGAAGGCTTGGGAACAAGAAAACGGCCCGCGACGAGGCACCAGTCTCGGTGATGAGGTCGAGAGCTCCGTGGCACAGTTTTGAGGGTGAGCGATCGAGCGTGACGTGTTCAGGCGGCGAAACATGGAGCTCGAATCGGCGATACATCGACTACATGTAAGAGTGACCTTGCGGGCACACTGGGGTCCCCAGATGGCCGAATGCGATGCGATAGCAGCGACGTGCGCGCATGGGTTTGGCCCCTTCGCGGCCCCCCAGAGCCGCGCACCAAGGTCACTCTTGCCTAGGGTCGCTCTTGCGTGTAGCCGAACACATCTCCGATCGATCGGCGACAGGCCCCCCATTGCGAATCCGCTCATTCTTGGGCCGAGTGGACTATCAGGCCCCTGATAGCGATGATCGGGCGACTCGGGGTCGATGCACCCCCTTTGAGCCTGTCCCCGCTTCCGTTGCCCCTTGGATAGATGTGCCCGATATTTGGCTTGCTAGTGAGAAGCAGGAGGGTGCAGAACTTGGTCGGCCTCGGAAGCGACAGGGCCGTTTTTCACCGTCTCTGAAAATGCCTCGTGCAAATGTTGACAGCGGAAACTTGAAATAAGAGGCGACCAGGATCTCGAGCAAAACGACTCCGTGATTGAGACAAGGAGAGGAGTTGGCAACAAAAACGGCGGCGGGACCTGGACAACAACGTTGCTGGAATGGTTCCGTTTCCTGGCCCGTTCTGGTGGAACCGGCAAGGAAATTGAAACACGGAAACGGCAAAGAAACAGCCTTGTCGTTTTCAAGGCCAAGTGATCAGCCACGCGCAGATAGGGGGGAGGCGGTGGGGGGAAGTTTTTTTTTTTTTAGAAGGCGCGGACCTTGTCTGTAGATGTAGGGACGGCGCCCCCTGAGAAGCAGCGTCTTTTTAAGAAGCCTCACCGCCTCCCCCCACCCCCTTTCTGCGCGCCGCCAAGAGACGGCAAAGGATCGGCCCTGTCGTGGCCAGAGCAAATCGAGGTGCAGAGTTCCCCAGGCCAGGTTGCGGGGAGCCGCCGTCTCTGCTACACGTAAGAGAGTGGCCCTTCGCCGGAGGGGCCCTCGGTGCGCAGGGCCTCCAGAAAGGACGCGAGCCAAACCCAAGCACGATAGGGGGAGGGGATAGGCATATAGGGGGGTGGGATGCCTCGACTCCCAGTCGCCCGACAGGCGTTCGAAGGTTCTCGGACGGTTTCAAAGCCCGGCGCAGGTTTCCATCCGCTGCGCCTCGTCGAGAGCGTTCTGAGGCTGCCGGAGTCGTCCCGAACGGCCGCCGGAGGCCGGAGGCCGGAGTTATGACCCGAAGACCATCAGGGGGCAGGTTCAGGGGAGGACGCATCGACCCTTCACCGTCCACTCATCGCCGACAGGGGCCCGATAGCCCACTCCCGCCCAGGAACGTGCGCATTCTGTATTAGTAGGGGCCCGTCGCCGATCTGTCGGCAACGTATCGCCTATTTCCACGTCGATATTGCCCCCCATGCCAGTCCTCTACATCGTTGTTCCTCAACGCAGGCCGCTATTGTCGTGTCCTTTGCAACGATCGACAAGCTGTGCACCCACTCTTGCCGACGCTCACTCTTGCTTGTAGCCAGTGGCACGTGGGAATTATCGGGCGTTCTCTGTTGTTCTGTAGCAAATATCAGAAAGAGCGTGTTCTACCGCTGCTGGCGGAAAACCGGGGGGGGTCACTACCGGTTCGAACCCCTCCCCCCCCCCCCCCCTCCGGAAAACCGGGGGGGGTCACTACCGGTTCGAACCCCTCCCCCCCCCCCCCAGCTCATCATGAAAAGGGGGGGGGGGTCACTACCGGTTCGAACCCCCCCCCCCCCCTCGAAAACCGAGTGGGGGTGCGGACAGTGGTGGGGACGGTGTTGGTGGGGACAGTGGTGAGGGGACAGCGGGACAGTGGTGGGGACAGTGGGGGGACAGTGGGACAGTGGTGGGGACGGTAGTGGTGGGGACAGTGGTGGGGACAATGGTGGGAACAGGGGGGACAGTGGACAGTGGTGGGAACGGTGGTGGTGGGGACAGTGGTGTGGGGACAGTGGGAATGAGGTGGAAACACTGGGACAGTGGAGGGTACAATGGTGGTGGGGACACTGGTAAAGGCGGTGGCGAGGACGGCGGTGGGACAATGGGACAGAGGTACAGTGGGGACAGTGGTGGGGACAGTGGGGACAGTGGTGGGAACAGTGGGACAGCTCAGTGGGACAGCGGAGGAGTCAGTGGGACAGTGGGGACAGTGGGGATAGGCAGTGGTTGGGTCCGTGGAGACAGTGGGGAGAGTGGAACCGTGGTGGGAACAGTTGTGGGAACAGTGGGGACAGTGCGACAGTGGTGGGGGCACTGGTGGGGACAATAGGGACGGTGGTGGAACCAGCGGGGGCAGTGGTGGTGAGGACAGTGGTGCTGGGAACAACAGTGGGGGATGTCATGCGAGCGGTGGTAGGGACCGGGAGTCGTTTGCTGGCGGTGCGTGGGGGGGGGGGGTCGAACCGGTAGTGACCCCCCTCCGGTTTTCGAGGGGGGGGGGGGGGGGTCCAACCGGTAGTGACCCCCCCTCGGTTTTCCGGATCCGGAGGGGGGGGGGGGGGGGAGGAGGAGGGGTTCGAACCGGTAGTGACCCCCCTCGGTTTTCGAGGGGGAGGGGGGGGGGGGGAGGGGTTAGGGGAGGGGGGGGTTTTGCCGGGAGGGAGGGGGGGGGGGGAGGGGTTCCAGCAGGGGGGGGGGGGATTTTCGGAGGGGGGGGGGAGACCCCCGGGTTCCGGAGGAAAAGGTTGGCAATTTTCCACAGTAAAGCGGCGGTGGATCACGTTCTCTCAAATATCGGGAGCCTCGTATACCACAATTCCGTATTTTGCGTCGACTAGCGTCTGGTACTCGATGATCCAGCGTCGGTACGCGTTGATTAAGTTTCGATTCGCATTTTTTGGCGTCGATTCGTAAGAGCCAACAAGATTGTATGGGAGGCCCCCATGAGTTGCCACAAAAATGTTGTGAGATGCACGCCCCTCTTCTTCCTCATTGAACGACCCTCTTCCTCCTCATCGCCCTACACTCCGGCGCCTTAGGATGGCAATGTTTTGATGGGCAGGGTAACATGGGCTTCGCGTCCCGGATCAAGTACGGCGTCGTCGGCGAGAACGCCAATATCCCAGGCTCAATGTTTGGCGGCCTCGAGCTTTGCCACTGCACATGACTCCGGCTGATTCAATACAGCATTATCCGCCTCGGTCCTTTGGTCAAGGCGCTCAAACAGAGAACAGCTCGGGTTCGTAATGAGCTCGCTTTTTCTTAGGTCCCTCCGCAGTTGGTCCTCTTGTGCCCCTCATGCATCCAGGCGCCTTTGGGGTCAACAGGGGCTTCGTCCTGGATTTGGCGATCCGTGTGGTTGCATCTTATTGTGATTCCCAGAGGCACCACCAGAGTCTGCGTATCTGGCCGCGTCCGTGCTGATTGGCCGCACGTCCGTGCTGATTGGCCGGGCTGCGCCCCTGGGTATCGCTGGCAAGGGAGGGGTGGAAAGAGAGAGGGCCCTCGGGGGCCAGCCCCTAACGGTTGGGCCTCCGTGCCCCGCCACCAGCGTCCCCAGAAGAGCACACCCACACGCACTGTCCGACGCGTGGAAGAGTCAGGTCAGCGGGTGCCAAGGTCGAGCCGGGACGCGGGCAAGACGATCAGCCTCTTCGTGAGGCAGCGAGCGACCAGGGCATTCAAGCAGGCGAAGCAAGAGCGTAAGCACTAGAGACAGCGGTTGATATGGCCGGCGGAGGGAAGGGAGAGGGGCGGATACAAATTAGGTGCGCAAGCGTCTGATTTGACTCGTGCCCTTCCCTCGCATCCATTGCCATAGCGTAGATCTCTTCCTTATTCCCACAGTCGGATGTCGAGCAGGGAAAGAATCCTCCCGAGCGTGTACGAGATGCATGGTAGTGCACGGCACAGCATGGCGTAGAAGAGCACGGCAGAGCGTACCATGTCATAGCACAGCGTGGCACTGCGTAGTAACGCATCGCAGCGCAAAGCATGGCGCGGGTCGAGAACACAACTCATTTAGACAACAGGTTCTGAGGGACACCAGACATGAAACAAGACAAACAATATCCATGGACGGTTCGGAACGAGCGAACGTGTTACACGATAGCCAACATTGTAGCAGGAATTCGTTTTGGAAGATCCGCAACACAGAAACGAGTTCAGCGCTGCAGCGGGAGTATGATATGGACGGACCAATCGCCAGAGCATGCAGCCAATGCTGTAGCGGGAGCAACATTTCGGATACACCGCAAACGTTAGGGGGAGCGTATGTGTAACGAACATCACGCGGAGAGGTGCAGGCTCCGACCTCGGGTTCGTCGGGGGAGAGATGAGACAAAGGTCCATGCTGTGTAATCGTGAAGGAGGGCAGTTGCAACAGAGCACGCATACACACACACTCCCGTAATGCCCCTCTGCTTCCCTCAACGGTCCGTCGAGTATGTGGGCGTTTCTATTATGACCTTTATTCTCTTCGCCGTTACATACTGCGTCCCCCCCCGATTCCACTGCGTTCGCATCTGCTTCGGCATGGTTCGCCCTCGTCCTCGCACCCTGTCTCCTGTTCGTCATGGCTTCCCCCCTCCCGTCTTGTCCTCGTTCTCTTGTTGCTGCTGGCCCGCAGCCCGTGCGCCCCGCCGTCGAGGGCGCCTGGAGGAGATGAACAAGAACTACGGCACCAACAACCTGATGTCCGCGGAGACGTACAAGAGGCGAGCAGCCCCCGACGCTCTGCCGCTCACGCGCCCCCCCCTCGCAGAGGAGCACGGCAGTGATGGGGAGGGGAAGGATCGGCGGTCGACGTTCGACCCAGGAGGAGGAGGAGGAGGAGGCGCCCCAGCTGCTCCTTGCAGCGGGAATCAAACCCAGCAGCCCTCCCAGGAGCTCCGATCCCCAGAATCCCAAGAATCCCAAACATCCAATTCACTGGGCCCCCCCCTCTTTCGGCGCCGGGTGCAGCAGGGTATGGGCGAAAAGAACTGGCCCCGGAGGCCAGGATGTTCTCCAGTCCCCGCTCTGGCCCCTCGTGGGGTCGGGGCGTGAGCGGGGGCACGGACAACACGTCGACCGCCTAGAGGAAGGGGACGGGGCAGGCTATATCTGGAAGCCTCGGACGCGCCGCGAGGAGTCGGAGGCTTCCAAAGTCTAGGCCCCCTAGATGTGGTCGGAGTAGATGGGGTCGGAGGGTCGCGCCGCATCGCCGATGTATCGGCGATGCGGCTCGATGCGGTTTCCCCACGCCGACGTCGCCGATGCGTCGCCGACGTCGTTGGTGCATCGCCAGAACACAGGCGGTGCATCGGCGGTGCATCGGCGAAGCGGCGCGATCCTCCGACCCCGTCTATTCGGACCCCGTCTAGGAGGCTTCTAGTTAGGGAAGAGGGGGTTGGGCCGTGCCCCTGCGTTTCACCCGCTTTCTGGCCTTCCTCGCTAACCAGCGCAGGCAAGAGACGCCCCCCCTCACGCTCCCCCACGACGTTGAGGCGACCTACCGCTCTCAGAAAGTATGCATGTGTCTGCCCCCAGATTCCACTCTTCTTCAGGCGTCTCCCTATGAATCGGCAGGGTCTCCCACCTTCCTTCCTCTTTAGGGGGCGGGTGAGATCCAGTCTACCTCCAACGCCTTCTCACGTCGTGCTTCTATATGCGTACGTACCCACCCACTTCTTCCGAACGATGTATGCTCGTTGTGTGGGAAGCTGCCCTGGGAGTAGCTACATGCTGCAGGGAATATTGTGCTTCTCGAGGAAGCGCAAACACAACTTCAGGCGCGTGGACTAGCGACGGGTCCCGTTTCCATGCAGAATCGGTGCGTTCCGTCGCCATCGGCGGCATCGGATTGGTCTCATGATTCGGGTGTGCTTTCTCCTAATCGTGGATCTGGCGGCCACGCGCCAGATCCTTAGAACGCAACCCCCGGAAGGTTAGAACTCAGCGTCGTCGTTGGCTTATCATTGGCCGAAAACCAGCTTGTTCTGGCTTAATCCAATTTAATCCGGCTTAGTATTGGGTTTACTCCGTTTGCATCAGACCTAGTGGTTCCTCATTCGGGCTTAATATCCCTTCATCGTTCTTACGGAGACCGAAAGATCCACAGATCCCTAGAGCAAACACGGGTAGGAAGGATGAGGCCGCCCCCCGCTCGGAAAGTGTCGACATGGCCTTTCAAGGCCCTCGCATTCTCATCGCACATCCTCGCTGTACGCGTGAACCGCAGTCCGTGTCAGCGCGCGCCCGAGCGCATGCATCGGACGGGGCTAGGACGAGGAGAAATCCTTCCCAGAGCGTTCCGGAGCGCTCTCAGAGCGTTCCAGAACGCTCCGAGAAGGCCGCGGCGCCCGAGACATCCTCCAGAGCCGCCGGATCTCAGAGATTCTCGAGTAGTTGATCTTCACCCGATTCTACCCTGAAGGCGAAAATGTGTGGATGTGATGGCCCCCCCCCCCTCCCGGCGATGCTGTGGAGTAAGATGAGGGGCCCTGTCTCGCCGCAGTGGGCCGGCGGCGCGGACGAGCGCCGGCGCGCCGCAATTCGTGGACCGTCGGCGCTCCAGGCGGCGCTGAGCAGGCCCATGCTCGACGAATCTTGCCAGGAGCTCCAGATGTCGTCGGCCGCCCTGCTGTTGAACTTAGAGAAGGTCTACGATAGTATCGAAGACGCCTACGGCGGATCACCGCCGCCCCCTGCCCCTTTGGAAGCGCCTCTGTGGCCGAACGTTGAGGCCAGAGCTTGGCCAAGCCATCGGACCATGTGTTCCCCGAGTCGGTTTGGAAAGCCTTCGGGGAACACGTGGGCATCTTGAAGGTCATCTTGGCCGTCTTGGAGGCCCCTTGGGCGATCTTCCGGCGATCTTTGGGGGCTCTTGGGCCGTCTCGGGCCGTCGGAAGGCCAAAAAGAAGGAAACATCAAAATCCGTCAAAACCCTCAGGAAAATCCATGTTTTTGGCCTCTTCTGGCCTTCTTGGAGGCCCTCTTGGGGGCCTCTTGGGCCGTCTTGGGCCAGCTTCGAGCCAACTTCGGCCATCTTGGTGGGTTCCTGGCACGTCTGACGCCGTCGGGAGCCGTCTTGGGGGCGTTTCTGGGCCAACGGGGGACCCTCTTGGGGCCCTTCGGGGCCGTCTTGGAGGCCATCTTGGGCGTCTTGGAGGCCATCTTGGGCGTGTTCGAGGCCTCTTGGGCCGTCTTGGGGCCCTCTTGGGGCCATCTTGGAGGACACTTGGGCCGTCATGAGGCCCTCTTGGGGGCCTCTTGGGCGATCTTGGGGGCCTCTTGGGCCGTCTTGAGCCGTCGGAATGCCGAGAAGAAGCAAATTCCAAAATCCTCCAACAACCTAAGGAAAAGCAATGATTTTGGCCTGTTCGGGCCCTCCTGGAGGACCTCTTGGAGGCCTCTTGGGCCGTCTGGGAGGCCTCTGGGGGGCCTCTTGGGCCGTCTTGGACTCTCTTGGGCCGTCTTGGAGGCCGTCTTGGACCATCTTGGGCGGACTTGGAGGCCATCTTGGGCCATCTTCGCGATTTTTTGGGGATGTCCCGAGCGAAACGGCCGTTTCAGGGAGAATGTTTTGTGGAGTTTGCGCTCCTGGGCAATCCTCCCGGGACCCCAGCGGGACGGGCCGAAACCCGAGGGGGAGTTCTTTTGGAAAAAGAACCAAAACCAAAACTGAAAGGATCCAGCACGCCAGGCACCCCTGCGATGAATCGACAGGGGGCGGCGGATCGAAGACGCCTACGGCGAATCACCGCCGCCCCCTGCCTTTGTGGAAGCGCGTATGTGGCCGAACGTTGAGGCCAGACCTGCCAAGCCATCGGACCATGTGTTCCCCGAATCGGTTTGGAAAGCCTTCGGGGAACACGTGGGCGTCTTGATGGTCATCGTCGCCGTCTTGGAGGCCTCTTGGGCGATCTTTCGGCGATCTTTGGGGGCTCTTGGGCCGTCTCGGGCCGTCGGAAGGCCGAAAAAAGGGAAATGCCCAAATCCATCAAAAACCTTGGGAAAATCAGTGATTTTGGCATCTTTTGGCCTTCCTGGAGGCCCTCTTGGGGGCCTCTTGGGCCCTTTTGGGCCAGCTTCGAGCCAACTTCGGCCATCTTGGTGGGTTCCTGGCACGTCTGACGCCGTCGGGAGCCGTTTGGGGGCCTTTCTGGGCCAACGGGGGACCCTCTTGGGGCGCTCCAGGGCCGTCTTGGAGGCCATCTTGGGCGTCTTGGAGGCCATCTTGGGCGTGTTGGAGGCCTCTTGGGCCGTCTTGGGGCCCTCTAGGGGCCATCTTGGAGGCCACTTGGGCCATCAGGGGGCTCTCTTGGGGGCCTCTTGGGCGATCTTGGGGGCTTCTTGGGCCGTCTTGAGCCGTCGGAGAGCCGAAAAGGCGCAAATGCCAAAATCCTTCAAAAACCAAGGGAAAATCAATGATTTTGGCCTCTTCGGACTCTCCTGGAGGACCTCTTGGAGGCCTCTTGGGCCGTCTGGGAGGCCTCTGGGGGGCCTCTTGGGCCGTCTTGGGCCGTCTTGGACTCTCTTGGGCCGTTTTGGAGGCCGTCTTGGACCATCTCGGGCGGACTTGGAGGCCATCTTGGGCCATCTTCGCGATTTTTTGAGGATGTCCCGAGCGAAACGGCCGTTTTTGGAGGATTTTTTCCGGTCGTTGAGCACGTTTGGGGATTTTCCGGGTGGCCGGCGGGTTCTGCCGGAGCCCACTGGGGAGTTCTTTTGGAAAAAGAACCAAAACCAAAACCAGCTCATCCAGCACGCCGTGCACCCCTGCAAGCAGGGGGCGGCGGATCTGAACGGCCTTCGGCCCATCCTGCCACCGTGCCTGAGTCGTAGGTATGAAGCTTATGGGATGGTCGTTAGGATCTCGTGGGAGGTCTCTCGGGGGCCTCTTGGAAGCAGTCTGGGGGCCTCTTGGGGGTTTCCTTGGACTCCCGGGGCCTCCGGGTCGCCTCTGGGGGCCTGTGAGGGCTCCCTTGGGGCAGAGGGCTTGGATTTTCGGTTCGTGTTCCCTCCCTTGGGCCCCTCTTGGGGCCGTGTTGGGGCCGCCTTGGGCGCGTCTTGGGCGCCTCTCGGTCCGTCTTGGGGTTTTCTTGCGCTCTGGGGCCCTCTTGGAAAGCCTCTTGGGCCGTCTTGGGGCGGTCTTGGGGGTCTCTTTGGCCGCGTTGTTGTGCCTCTTGGGGCCCTCGTGGGAGGCCTCTCGGAGGCCTCTTGGGGCGCGTTGGAGGCCTTTGGGCCATCTTGGGGCCACCTTGAGCGCCCTAGACGACCGTCCGGCGACTTGGGGCCCTCTTGGACCGTCGTCGAGGCCGCTCGGGGCCCTCCCGAACCGTGCTGGGGCCCTCGTGGACCCCGAGAACTTATGCAACAAGCCAGGGGCAGCCCAGGGGAACGCGGCGAACCCCGACCGATTTTGGAAATTCGAGCCGGGGCCGGGCCACTTAACGATTCCTAAGGACTGATCGGCAGGGGCACCCTGTTACCATCCCAGCGCTAGAGCTGAAGTGGTTCCTGGCGCCTCGCTATTTGAAGGACCTGTTCTGGCTGAGCAATGCCATGCTCCTTGAGAGGAGTCTGGTCGTTGGACCCTTCAACAGACGACGTCGTCCCAAGGCTTTCCTCGGTCCGATACTGGAGACACCCAGAATTTGGAGCCCAGTTCCTTTAAAGAATCCTCAGGATTGACACGCCCACTCTGTGCCCAGAGGCACGGTAACGGATTTTCACACAACTCGTTTCGTGCTAGCGCTTGGGGATCTGGGGGGAACGTGCAACTGCAGCGGCATGCCGTGGGAACCCCTCTGGAGCGAAAAAGACGATACGATTAGATTCGCCATGTCGCAGCGCAGCCAGGCAGAAAGCACAACATTTTTCTATTCACGAAATGACAACGCAGGGAGACGGAACAGGGCTAGTTTTCTCTTACTCGTCAAGCGGCAACGCCCGGGGGGCGAACCAACACGATTCTACGGTTATAACTCGCCACATGGCATCGCAATTGGGTCTCAATGAATCCTATTCTACTGTACTCGTCACGTGGCAACGCCTGGGTGCGGAAAAAAACGTCTACTCCTAGTCGTCACGCTGCAAGGACCGAGGGGCGAAACAATGCGATGATATTGTACTCTGCATGCGGCAACCCAGCAGGGCAAGATAAGAGACATTTCCACTCCCACTGGCCAAGTCGCAACGCTTAGGGGTGGAATGAATCACATACCATTCCAGCGTATTCGTTGCGTGCTAACGCCTCGGGACGAAGCACCTACTATTCCATCACATTCGTCACGTGGCAACGCAGCGCGGCGGCAAACATGTTTGAGTCGCGTATTCCATCTATATTCGCAGAACAGACGATTCCGTCACATTCGCAGCGTGGCATCGCTTGGGGTGTGAACACAGCTACTGTTCCACTCGTCTCGTCACGCGGCAGGGACGCCATTTAAACTGGATCGTGCCTGAGTGCCTGAGTAGGGTTAGTAGGGTTGTAGCACGGCTGGATCGAACAGGAATCTGTTACAGCTGATTCCAGACAATAGCAGGATCTTGTTAGAGTTGGATCGAGCTCCTAGTAGGATTTTCTCGAGTTGGATCCAGCCCGTAGCAGGATTCGACTAAAGTTGGGTCGAGCCCTCGTAGGATTCTACTATATATGGATCCAGCCCTCGTGGCAGGATTCAGTCAGTGCTGGTTTCAGCCCCTGTAGGATTCCATTAGAGTTGGATCTAGCCTTGGTAGGATTCTGTACGGGCTGAACCGAGCCTTTGGAGGATTCTATTGGAGCTTGATCGAGCCGCAATAGGGTTCCATTAGAGCTGGATCCAGCCCTAAGTGCAGGATTCGATCAGAGCTGCACCCAGCCCTGGTGGCAAGCCCCCCCCCCCTTTCCGCCCCCCCGAATTTGTTGCTGCCAAGCGGTGATAGGTCGCGCCCCATCATACGTTGCAGCAAGAGAGGAGGGAGGGACCAATCTAACTCTACTCGCCACGTGGCAACGCAACGGGGCAGAACCCCATGCCACGTGGGAGCGTTCGAGGGGCGAAACAACATTATTCTATTATGCGAAACGCGTAGCATCGCAGCGGGGTGGAGAACGTACAAGTCGACTCAACTCACCCAGTGGCAACGCAGCGAAGCGAACACAAGACCGTTCCATTCTTCTCGTCACATGGCAAGGCCTGGGGGGGGGGGGGCGAAACAGCTACTATTCTATGAGACTTGCCACGTGGCAACGCAGCGGGGCGAGCAATTGCCTAGTACGCTCTGGGCCGTCACGTGGCAACACGTTGGGGCAGGAAAATTATTCCGACAGTAGGACCCCGCATGGGAATCTGTTTAGCTTACCCTTTGCACGTTCCTCTTCCTCCTGGGGCTCCCGCCTGAGACTTCCTCACAATTCACTCACAGACGAGGCTCCCGCTCGATGACCCGCTCGGGTTCAAACATGAAGCGCGGGCCCCATAGGGAGGGGGCTCCCGCCTGAGACTTCTTTCGCAATTCACTCACAGACGAGGCTCCCGCTCGAGACTTCCTCCATATTCAAGTCTCAAGAGCCCAAAAGTGACGAGAGTTGCACGTTGCGGATGACCCGCTCGGATTCAAACATGAAGTGCGGGCCCCATAGGGAGGGGGCTCCCGCCTGAGACTTCCTCACAATTCACTCACAGACGAGGTTCCCGCTCAAGACTTCCTCCATATTCAGGCCTCAAGAGCCCAAGCGTGACGACAGTTACACGTTGCGGATGACCCGCTCGGATTCAAACATGAAGTGCGGGCCCCATAGGGAGGAAGCTCCCGCCTGAGATTCCTCGCAATTCACTCACAGACGAGGCTCCCGCTCGAGACTTCCTCAATATTCAAATCTCAAGAGCCCAAAAATGACGACAGTTGCACGTTGCGGATGACCCGCTCGGATTCAAACATGAAGCGCGGGCCCCAGAGGTAGGGGGCTCCCGCCTGAGACTTCCTCGCAATTCACTCACAGACGCGGCTCCCGCTCGAGACTTCCTCCATATTCATATCTCAAGAGCCCAAAAGTGACGAGAGTTGCACGTTGCGGATGACCCGCTCGGATTCAAACATGAAGTGCGGGCCCCAGAGGGAGGGGGCTCCCGCCTGAGACTTCCTCGCAATTCACTCACAGACGAGGCTCCCGCTCGAGACTTCCTCCATATTCAATCTCAAGAGCCCAAACGTGACGAGAGTTGCACGTTGCGGATGACCCGCTCGGATTCAAACATGAAGTGCGGGCCCCATAGGGAGGGGGCTCCCGCCTGAGACTTCCTCACAATTCACTCACAGACGAGGCTCCCGCTCGAGACTTCCTCCATATTCAAGTCTCAAGAGCCCAAACGTGACGACAGTTGCACGTTGCGGATGACCCGCTCGGATTCAAACATGAAGTGCGGGCCCCAGAGGGAGGGGGCTCCCGCCTGAGACTTCCTCACAATTCACTCACAGACGAGGCCCCCGCTCGAGACTTCCTCCATATTCATATCTCAAGAGCCCAAAAGTGACGACAGTTGCACGTTGCGGATGACCCGCTCGGATTCAAACATGAAGTGCGGGCCCCAGAGGGAGGGGGCTCCCGCCTGAGACTTCCTCGCAATTCACTCACAGACGAGGCTCCCGCTCGAGACTTCCTCCATATTCATATCTCAAGAGCCCAAAAGTGACGACAGTTGCACGTTGCGGATGACCCGCTCGGATTCAAACATGAAGTGCGGGCCCCATAGGGAGGGGGCTCCCGCCTGAGACTTCCTCACAATTCACTCACAGACGAGGCTCCCGCTCGAGACTTCCTCCATATTCAAGTCTCAAGAGCCCAAAAGTGACGACAGTTGCACGTTGCGGATGACCCGCTCGGATTCAAACATGAAGTGCGGGCCCCATAGGGAGGGGGCTCCCGCCTGAGACTTCCTCGCAATTCACTCACAGACGAGGCTCCCGCTCGAGACTTCCTCCATATTCATATCTCAAGAGCCCAAAAATGACGACAGTTGCACGTTGCGGATGACCCGCTCGGATTCAAACATGAAGTGCGGGCCCCATAGGGAGGGGGCTCCCGCCTGAGACTTCCTCACAATTCACTCACAGACGAGGCTCCCGCTCGAGACTTCCTCCATATTCAAGTCTCAAGAGCCCAAAAGTGACGACAGTTGCACGTTGCGGATGACCCGCTCGGATTCGAACATGAAGTGCGGGCCCCATAGGGAGGGGGCTCCCGCCTGAGACTTCCTCGCAATTCACTCACAGACGAGGCTCCCGCTCGAGACTTCCTCCATATTCAGGCCTCAAGTCAGCGATGATGATGATGATGATGATGATGATGATGATGATGATGATGATGATGATGATGATGATGATGATGATCGTTCGATGCCGATGATGGTGAGTGATCGTGGTGATGGTGATGCTGATGATGGATGATGATGATGATGAGTGGGGAGTGATGGTGATGGTGATGATGATGCGGAGGAGGAAGCAAAGAGGAGCAGAGGAGAGGGAGGAGGAGGAGGAGGAGAGATCCTGCGCGGAGGGTGTGCAGAGAAAACAAGAACCCCACTTAGGATGTGGGGAAATACAAGTCCACTCTTACTCGTCACGTGGCAACGCACGAGGGGCGACCAGCGGCCAGCGATCGGCGGCCAGGAGGCGGCGGCCAGCGGCCAGCGGCCGACGCCAGGGCCCTGTGCCGGCATCAACTGGCGCAGTTTGGCAGTCCCCTCACAGATCGCGCCTCGAGGGCTAGAAACAATTTGCTGGAAGCCTCATCCAGCGGCGGACGCCCGGGCAATTGGCGTCCATGGGCCAATGGTCGCACACACCTCACACGGATCGCGCCTCAGAAAAACATAGTTCACCTTACATGTGTTTTGGTTGAGCCTCCAGTAGCAGAAGAAACATCTTGCGTGTCCGTGCTCCCCGGAGGCTGGACCACACCCAGTTCGCGATCCGGCCCATCGACTATGTGCATCTCCGGCAGCGCGACCCGCCCGAGAGCGAGCCCGTCTATGAGGCGCGTGGAGCTGCGCCCAGCACAGGCAGGGACAGCGAGGTTGGGCTGAAAGAGGCAAGTTTGATGACGTTCGTGCTCGTCTAATTATTCCTTTCGTCGTCCTCGTCAGCCTCATCTGTCATCCTGGGCCTCGTCCTCCTCGTCCTCCTCTCCCTGCTGCCCCTCCTCCAGTTTACCAGCTCGACATGGCTGTGCCGAATCCAACCCTCCCCTGGTGGCAAAAAGCTTCCTGCAGTCTGGGTGGCATTGCTGAGGATGCGTAGGAGAAAGCCTGGGCAGGCCCTGCTTGGCAGATATCACTGACTATCTCGAAGCCGCTTGGTTCCTCTGGCTCTGGTTGTATAGGACACGCTAGGGGTAGTCTATCCATCCGAATTCTGAAAACGATTTGTTTCGTGCCCTTGTTGAGACGAGGCAGCTTAGCAGGTCTCTGCGAGCTTGACGGACTTACCAATAGCCCATGCCCCGAACCTGGTTCAGCACCACGGCCCCTGGTATGTTGTTGGAGGGCGTGGGTAAGTGTGGAAAACTGGGGCGCCCAGGACACGGGGGACGTTGCCACAGCAGTCGCCGAGCGCAGTCCCCCCCCTCCCCCAAAACACGTCAAGTACATACCTCGTCTTCCTGAAACCCGTCATACGTTGCGTCTTGAGCCGAGCTCGTGGGACGCTCTCAGTAGCCTGTTGGATGACAACCTGCGTCTCTGGGCCTTGTGGATCTTGCTGCCCCCAGCTTCGCACACGATCTTCTACGATTGCTAAGGCCTTACGGCCGGTGCCGCCGACCTGAAGACGACGACGACGAATACGAGGAGGAGGAGGAGAAGGAGGAGGAGGAGGGGGATCAAGGTGGAAGAGAGCAGGCGAAGGCGAAGGAGATGTTCCCCATGTGGGCCGAGGGAGTCGTAGCAGAGACAGACAGGGAGCCTTTTGGCTTGCGGCCCTTCCCGCCACCGTGCTGGGATTGTGGTTGAAAGGCCTCTTGAATGTTTTCGGGCCTGTTGGGGCCTCTGTTGGGCCTCTCGGGGGTCTCTTGGGGGCCTCTTCGGGATCGTCTCTGGATGGGCTGATGGGACTGTCTAGAGGGACGCAGGGATCTTCCCGATCGAGCTGTCACACATGGAACTAGCACATGTGCCGACACCCGACAAACAGGGGATATGTCGACCCCTATCCCATGCTTTGGGAGGTTTCGACTGGACCAACATTTTTGGGCCCAACCCTGGGATATATGATGGGGGGGGCGCTCATCCTCGATAGGGCTGCGTACGAATAGCCCCCGGGGGGTGTATCCCAGGGTTTCCCTCCTTTTCTGAGCGGCTTCATTTTTCGACGAAAAGTCAGGGTGTCGGGGGAGAAACATCGCCTGCGACCGACCGCGTCGACACACAACCTTAGAACCAGCGGAGGTGCGACGACGCCCACGAGCGGGCCCTGGAACCCAGCATATGAGCCACCGCCCGCGAGCAGGGAGACGCGGGGAGGGAGGGGTGCAGTCATCGTGCTGGTTAATTGCCGCGAGTACCAGGGAGCTTCCCTTGCTGGAACGAGCCATGGCCACGAATGATCCATCGAGGGTTGCTGAAGGTGCCCCTGGCCCAAGGTGCTCCGAACTTTTCGCTCATTTTTGGAGTCTCTGGGCCCTCTGGACCGCGTGAGGGGTGCTCTGGAGGCCGTGGGAGCCTCCTTGGAAATCCTGGGGGCACATCGGGTCAGGGGCACTTCTAGCCACGCCCGAATCCAGGGAGCGGCCCGAAAACCGGAGTCTCTCCTGCACCAAGAGTGGCGCACTCCAGGGTCGCAGGGGCTCTCGGGGCCTTCCGGGGGCTTCTTGGGGCACAGCTTCGCACACGATCTTCTACGATTTTATCACATGCGCGTCTACGTTACGCAAATCCCCTTGGACTCGTCAGTCCAGCGGCCAGCTGATCGTCAGGGTCTATTTGCCTAGTCACGGAAAGAGTTGAGTTCGTTACAGGCCCACATGTGAGGACATACGCCCGTTCATGAAGTTGAAGTACGACGTTGCCATCTTTGCCCGTGGTTATTCGTTCTGTGCGGTTTTGCATGTATGTTATGTTATGTTGGCGCCCTGAACCCTTTTGTTGGCTTGCATCGGTCCAAGCCTTGCGCCACATACAAAAGCTCCCAAGAGGATCCACGAATAGCATCCCCTTCTCCTCCACCTCCTTCTCCCGCTGACGTCTGTACATCGACGCCGACCCGAGGCGCTCTATAGATCTCACGTCACCGAGTCGCGATGCATGTGATCGGTTTCGGCGTGCTTTTTCAATATCGTTTCGGTCCGATACCGTTCCGCCGCTGCTGTTTGAAGCCCCTGGGGCCAGAAATGTGCTTGCAGAGGCCCAACATGGCAAAACACGGGCCGCCTGAGCGGCCAGATGTTTGGCTCGATTGTCTCCCCATAAGTTGTGTGGCCTCCAGAGGTCCCAGGCAGCTTTACACCCAAACCTGAGAATTCAAGGGATGAAGACCCACCCACTCCAAACAAGGCCCTGTTCGATTATTTCCCTGGGTACGTGTTCTAAAGTATTTCGTTTGGGTATGTACTTCGATTGTGGTTCTTCGCGCGAGATGTTCACACTGAGGATCTATGTGTTGCAGGCTTCGGAGCTTTTTTCAAGACAGATGCGGTTTGCCACAAGGAGACAGTTGGGTCACACTATGCGAGGAGTTCAGCAATGCTTGGCATGAGCACACAGATGCAAGAGAGGACAACACCGGGACACATCATGCCCCCCGTTTCAGCACGTGAGACGGATAATTAGATGGGTCAAGGCACTCTGAAATGGTCGGACCAGAGGCGGGATTTATTCATAGCCGACGCATGGAGAATCGATCTTCGGCAACGTCAGCAGGCGGCAAAAATGAATACATGTGCCCTCCCCGAAGGGCCCGACTATACATCCATATCGACCTCCTGCCGAGCCCCCGAATATCCCCCCTCCCTGTCCCTGGTGATGGATTGATCTCCGCCTCGCAAGCAGAGCGTTCGAACCCCTATCTTAATGATCGCGCCCCGATCCTCGCTCGAGCGCGCAGAGGCCCCCCCCCTCCCCCCCTCCTCCTCGCCCTTCTCCTCCCTCGTCCTCCTCCCTCCTCCCCCACCCCCCGCCCCCCGAGGTGCTCGGCGTGGGGGTGCACAGGAAGCTGAGGATGCCCGTGCTGCAGGCAGTGGCGAAGAGGCACGCGGAGGCGCGGCGCTGCCGCGCGAGAGCGGCGGAGGGGGGATCATGTGACTCGAGCAGTGACGAGACCGCCTGGGCTCCTCTTGGGGCAGTCTTGGGGCACCTTTGGCAGCCTCGGGGGCCATCTTGGGGCCATCTTGAAAGAGATCGCTGAATTAGGGCCTCTTTGAGGTCTCTTGGTAGCCTCTTGGGGGCCTCTTGGGGCTTCCTTGGCGCCTCTTGGGACAGTATTTGCACACCCCTGGGAGCATCGGAGACCATCTTGGGGCCACTTCGGATGAGATCGATCAAAGGACGGCCGTCCTCAATTAGCGGCGCCACCCCAAGAGGCCAATATGTGGCCAAGACTGTTCTAAAACAGATGGTTTGGACCTTCTCGCCACCGCCATCTTGGACGCTCCAACCCATCGCGAAAGGCCCCGCTCAGACCCAGGTGGAGGGGTCTGGGGGAGGGGTTTGACCCCTCCCCGAAGGGGAAGAGGGAAGATGGAAGAGGAAACTCTCTACACCACTCACGCCCTTTGGGGCTGGTGGGAATCTTCGTCCCGCGCGGCTCCTGAGGTCGGAGGGGGGGGGTGGTGCGCGGTGGCGTGCTAAGGGGCTGGGCGCCGGTGATCGGAGGAGGGCCGGTCGAGGCCACGGCGGCCTCCCCTGGCGTGCGCTCGTGCTCTACTGCTTGGGCCTCGCGAGGGCGCCTCGTCGCCACGCGGCCGGACCCGCCCCCGAAGAATCTGCCACGATGCGGAGGGACCCCCGGGAGGGGCCTGGGCACCGACGTCGGCGGGGTGCTGGGCGGGCGAGGCGAGCAGGGCCCCTGACCGTCTCGATCGCCCCCCTCCTCTCCCCCCCCCCCCCCCGAGAGCGGGGGCCGACCTCGGAGCAATCCCCGCCCCCTCTCCTCTCGGGCTTCCCCTCTGCTCCCGCATACGCTCGCAGCCCCGCCGTACATGTTCGGGGGCACCGACAGAGTGGGGGATCGGCGGTGGGGGGGATGCACCGACCCCTAATCACCCATGGATCGCCGATAGGGGCCCGATAGTCCCACCCCACCCAGGAACTTGTGGACTCCCCATCGGGTGCCTATCGCCGATCTATCGGCGATATATCGCCGATTCCAGGTTGATGTTTCCCCAGCCTGTGCCAGTTCCCCCCTATCGTTCGCCCGCACATGTGTTGCTCATCCTCGCTCGCGCACTGCCGCACTGCCTGAGATCTGGAGGAAAAAAAGCGCGTGCAGCGCGCCACGAGGAGAGCGAGGAGAGGGTGGCAGGGCAGGTTCGCGTCGTGTCCAACCCGGCGGCGACCCCGCCGCAGGCGTTCAAGATTGCGCGCCTCCAGTGGCTCAGACTCGGTGAACGATCTGGCGATCGAAAAGCCGCCGTTCGCTCAAAGCTGGCCGATCCGCGCGGTGACAGAAACCAACGCCAAGGTCGTCACGACACGAACTTGCCGTAGCGGGGGAGGGGGAGGATGGTGGCGGAGGAGGAGGAGGAGGAGGAGGAGGAGGAGGAGAAGGCAGCAAAGCCAGGAGCAGGAGCAGAAGAATGAGGACGGATGATGAAGGAGGAAGAGGAGGAGGAGGAGGAGGAGGAGGAGGAGGAGGAGGAGGAGGAGGACGGAGGAGGAGGACGGAGGAGGACGGAGGAGGACGGAGGAGGACGAGGAGAAGGAGGAGAAGGAGGAGGAGGAGGAGGAGGAGGACGACGACGACGACGACGAGCAGGAGGAGGGTGGAGGAGGGTGTGGAGGAGGGAGGACGGTGGAGAAGGACGAGCAGCAGCAGCAGGAGGGAGGAGGGAGGAGGAAGGAGGACGAGGGAGGAGGCAGCGAAGCCAGGAGCAGCCGCTCGATGAAGGGCAACGACCCTCTGGACCCTCGTCGGCAGCATGGCCCGGAGCAGCAGCGGATCGGGATCGGCAGCAGTAGCAGCAGCAGCAGCAGCAGCAGCAGCAGCAGCAGCAGCAGCAGCAGCAGCGGGAGGAACAGCAGAGGGACACGATCGGACGGGGCTAGGACGAGGATCAATTCGTTGCAGAGCGTTCCGGCCCGCTCTCATAGCGTTCCGGAACGCTCTGAGAAGGCCGCGGCGCCCGAGACACTGCCCAGAGCCACCAGATCTCAGAGATTCTCGATTTATCGTCACCTGATGTTATCCTCGCCCTGGCCTCGTCTTAGCAGAGGGGCACAGGCACATGACCCCGTTCGACTCCTCCGACTCGATTCGATTTGATTCGGATCTATTCCGATTGCAATTCCGATTCGATTCGACCTCGGAGTCCGATGCGGATTTCGGTTTCGCCATGGAGTGTCGATTCCCGCCGATTCGATTTCTCCCGATTCGAAAGCCGATGTCCGCCGATCCGATGAATTTCGATGGCCGATCCGACTCATCGTTTCGATTTGGGGTTCTCCTGCGAGCACGAGCATGAGCAAGGTCGAGGCAGTGCAGACACGGAAGAAGGAGCGTGCATTATCGACGGGCCCTATTTTCATGCAAAGTCGGTGCGCTCCGTCGCCAGTTCAGCCGGTACCGGCGTCTCGTTTCCGGAAGCGTTTTCCCCAGTCCGTGGATCAGTTCCGCGGATCTGTAATCCATGTGCGTGAGAGCAGAAAGACCATGAGAAGCAGGGTTAGGGAGAATGGCGAGGACCCGACCGCGTCTTCGGAGGTAGTTTTGCCCCCCCGATCCGCTGTGGATGGCCACTAGGCTCTAGGCCTGAACGCGGCCCCCGAGGGCCAAAAATCAGAAATCGAGGGAGGAGGAGGAGGAGGAGGAGGAGGAGGAGGAGGACCAGGAGCTACCCAACCGCGAGCCCAGCTATGTGGAACGTCCAGGTGTATTACTACAACCTCGAGACCCGCGAGTCGAAATGGGACGACCCTGGCAACGTCCTGCTGCGACCTGGATGGAAGAGAGCAGTTTTTGCTGCTAGTGGCGAGTGCTTTAATGAAGTCGACAACAACATGATGATACACCAATGGCGCAAAGAAACCAGCGACAGCCACTTCCCCGCCTAGGGCAAGGTCACCATCTCTGCAGGCACGATCTTTCTACGCGGACATATCCGTCCTCGATGACAGCATCCTTAGGTACAACACCGACCACGAGTACAGGAAAACCCTGGACGCCATCAAAACGGATATGCAGCACCTGAGCAAAGACCATATGTTTGCCTACATGTACTACACGATCCGCAGCCAAGCCGACGCCATCATCAGCCTCGAGGAGACAGCGAGGGTCATCACGGAGATCCAGACAGCGCCGTCACCTGCAGCCGGAGCCTACCAGCCCAACAAACAGCAGACCGCGACTTCTGCCAGTAGCTCCACGAACCTGGACAAAGCGCTCGCCGATGACCACTGTGGGGCACGCCACCAATCCCAGGACGTCGACACATGTACGGAAACAGGCAGCATTTCCACGACGGCACAGCTGAACACCAGAGCCAAGGCTATACACCGAAGGACTGGTCGCGCTACATGGCCGACCAATGATAATCCTACCAACCAAGGCATCGCCCCCACAGAGCGACATCGCGCCATCACCGGCTGCAACCAAAACTAAGCCCCATTGGCTATCGGTCGACAGGATCTTGGGGGTCGAGAGAGCCTGAGCCAGGCCCAGACCGAACACACCACCGTACTAGGAGGTCCCATCCAAGCCTCCTCCGAAGACAGCACATTTGCACGCAGCCTGCCAAAGACACAGAACAAGCCACCTCCCATCAAGACTTTCGGCAGAGTACCGACCATGCTACACATAGATACAGCATACGAGCAGGCCACCACGCATATCGAGGAACCAAACATCAGCATGAGACCGGGATCGTCCAGCGCAGACCGCCAGATAGAAGCCATCGCGCGCTTGACCCTCAACATCAGAAGCATCCACTACGAAAAGAAGACCCACCGTGTCAGCATCCAGACGTCAATAGCCATTGAACAGCGACTGCGACGTCCTGACGACCTACGTCGCGACCTCTCTCAACTATTTCATGCTCCACGATGCATTGCCAGCAACACGACTTTTCATTCTGACCCAACTGCAAACCGTCCTCGCTCATTGTATCAAACACAAGCTGGCCGCGATGGTCGCCCACCCGATCGCCGACGACCGCGCCGAACTACCGACGCCAGCAGTAGCCGCGCAACGGCGGCGTGACCTCCTCATGAGCAAGCCAGGGATACGTTACAACCCTGTTTCAGAGCTGGCTCCATGTGCGATCTTGTTCTTCCAGGGGGCGTCGCCTTCGAGACCACGACCAGCATGTTGGCCTGTGCCTGGAGGTGCTCCTGGGGGGCGACCCGAGTGTCCGGGAGGTCACGGAGAGTGTGCGCGGTGGGCGCTCCTATTTCTTGACTCGGTCCGAAGAAGCGCAGCATTGCGTGAGGCTGGCGTGCCGTATTCGCTGTCTGCAGCAATGCGCCTCTAGCCGCAACGACGTGGAGGGCGTGGAGAAGGTCGACGCGGAGGCCTCCAGCGACGCCCGGTGGAAGAAATTATCGGAGAGCTTGGCTGCCGAGAAGCAGTATCTGAACATTTCCCGGTGTGGAGCCACGCGCAACCAGACCCGCCTCAGCCAGAACACCCGGTGTGCTTTGCGCGGAGTGCTCCATGCGAACGCCCGGCACTTCTGGAGCGAACCCAGTGTGATGGACGAAGAACGCCGGCTCCTCAGCCCCTCAGCTGGTTGCACCGCCTCCAGCCTACGTGGTGGACTCGTCAGCCACGCGTTACATCCCAAAGCGGATGGATCACAACCAGTGCCAGTCGTGATCATCATCGTCGTGTCGATATTCAGATTGCCAGTTGTCGCATGGGTATCTTCATTTGCATGGGCCCGTTGAAGGCGCTGCTCGACTGAGAGCCGCACCCCCCTTGAGCGAGAAGGACTCCTCAATGAGGCTGTCATCCTGTCGCTCGAGCAGCAGGCGGAGACCATCGAAAAGATCAACCAGCCGATCATGGCCCAGGGGGCCGCCCCACCTGGCAACATCGCTGAGCAGCCTGCGGCCCACAGCGGGGACGACGCTGGGGGGCCACTGAATCATGGATATGCGAAGAACAGCCACCACGCGCATGGAGAACTGCGCTCCCCACCGAACCAGGCTCAGCATCCACTGCCTCAGCGTCGCAGGAGCGGGGCGTGCCCGCACCGCCGACGCCGTCAGCGGGGGCCCGCCCCCCTTCTCGCCCCGACGCCTGATCGACGAGAAGCGCCGATGGTTGGCAACCGTGGCCGAGGATGCGCAGCGGATGCCGGCGCCAACCCGCAGCATGATCGCCAACGGCAGCATCCAGACAACGGACAACGACATCGACGACACGAGGCCCCCACCGCTGATAGCTGACATCAACGCGAACCACGGCGACAGCGAAGACGAGGCCTACCTCGGGACGACGAGCTGGACTACGTGGCCAAGCAGGCCATCGGCGCCGCCCAGGCCATTCACATTGCTCCCAACATAACGCCACCTTAAATCTGACAAGCGACGCTGCCAGGCCAAGCGGAGAAGAGCCACCACTGGAATCGCGGCTGCGCTTCGCACGAGTCTACCAGCCTGACCAGCCGACCACCCAGGTGAATCAGGAGACTCCCCCTTGGTTACCCACAGAGGCACAGAGGCACGCGCCTGAAGATTGGGCCAGCCGTTCGGCGACCCATCGGTGCGCCGTCTACTCCGCGCATGTTTGACAAACCTGCTGTCGCCGACAGCAGACGCCTCCAGTGGCCACCTGCTGTTGCGCACATCCACATCTCGGTGCCAGCCTTTGAACCAAGCAGCCGCACTCACTAGGCACTTTGGCCTATGCGCCCAGCAGCAACAGCTGGCCCGTGCCGAATAT